GCCTGGCTGAACAGAGAATTGTGGCTTGAGTTTAGCAGGAAAAAGAGGGTTTATAATCTTTGGAAAAGAGGGCGGGCCACTTGGGAGGACTATAGGGATGTTGCGAGGCAGTGCAGGGACAAAATTAGGAAGGCCAAAGCTCATCTGGAGCTCAATCTGGCTACTGCCATTAAAGACAGCAAAAGATGTTTTTACAAATACATCAACACAAACTGGAGGACTAAGGAGAATCTCCATCCTTTACTGGATGCGTGGGGGAACTTAGTTACAAGAGATGAGGAAAAGGTGGAGGTGCTTAATGCCTTCTTTGTCTCAGTCTTTAGCGGCAATACCAGTTGTTCTCTGGATACCCAGTACCCTGAGCTGGTGGAAGGGGATGGGGAGCAGAATGTGGCCCTCACTATCCGCGAAGAACTGGTTGGTGAGCTGCTACAGCACTTGGATGTACTCAAGTCGATGGGGCCAGATGGGATCCACCTGAGTGTACTGAGAGAACTGGCGGAGGAGCTGGCCAAGCCACTTTCCATCATTTATCAGCAGTCCTGGCTATCGGGGGAGGTTGCAGTCGACTGGCGGCTAGCAAATGTGACGCCCATCTACAAGAAGGGCTGGAGGGCAGACCCGGGGAACTATAGGCCTGTCAGTTTGGCCTCAGTACCAGGGAAGCTCATGGAGCAGATTATCTTGAGTGTCATAACGCGGCACTTGGACTGATGGGCTGAGGTCAACCGTATGAGGTTCAACAAGGCCAAGTGCCGGGCCCTGTACCTGGGGCGCAATAACCCCAAGCAGAGCTACAGGCTGGGAGATGAGTGGTTGGAAAGCTGCCAGGCAGAGAGGGACCTGGGAGTAATGGTTGATAGTCGGCTGAATATGAGCCAGCAGTGTGCTCAGGTGGCCAAGAAGGCCAATGGCATCTTGGCTTGTATCAGAAGTAGTGTGGCCAGCAGGGCTAGGGGAGTGATTGTCCCCCTGTACTCGGCTCTGGTGAGGCCGCACCTCGAGTACTGTGTTCAGTTTTGTGTCCCTCGCTACAAGAAGGACATCAAGGTGCTCGAGCGAGTCCAGAGAAGGGCGACGAAGCTGGTGAGGGGTCTGGAGAACAAGTCTTATGAGGAGCAGCTGAGGGAGCTGAGTTTGTTCAGCCTGGAGAAGAGGAGGCTCAGGGGCGAGTTCTCTGTAAGTACATTAAAGGAGGCTGTAGGGAGGTGGGGGTTGGTCTATTCTCACATGTGCCTGGTGACAGGATGAGGGGGAATGGGCTAAAGTTGCATCAGGGGTGTTCTAGGTTGGATATTATGAAGAACTTTACTGAGCGGGTTGTTAGGCATTGGAATGGGCTGCCCAGGGAAGTGGTTAAGTCACCATCCCTGGAGGTCTGTAAAAGATATTTAGATGTTGAACTTAGCGATACGGTTTAGTGGAGGACTGGTTAGTGTTAGGTCAGAGGTTGGACTTGATGATCTTGAGGTCTCTTGCAACGTAGACAATTCTGTGATTCTGTGAAATCCATTCTTTGATGAAAACCTGTGACTGCTTCCTTGCTGCCCCAAATCTTTCAGGCTGGCTTTCCCACTTAGGACAGCTCCAGCTAGGATTCCTTTTTTACTTGACCTTATACCGGGTTTGTTGCTCCCTTCCAAGTTAGGAGCAGGCTTTTTTTGTTAAATGACAGTAGACTGCACTCTTCAACATGTACTTTGCTTTGGGTGACGCATGGTGTTGCAAATAGGAGAAACCATGCACTTCCATAGATGGACTAATAATTTTACCTCAGTATCCTTATGGTATCCTTCTCCTTCGATATTCACCACATACTTAAGGCTTTGGGGTGCTCTGGAAATGCTGCTGTGCACAGCCCAAGGTGGGCTGTGGCAGGGCAGTTCTCTGCAGGCAATTTGTTGGTGAATAGCCAGGTGGCAGAGACCAGAGGAATTTCCATGGGTAAAGCATGAGCCAGAAGCCAGGTGGGGCCATTAATTCCTCTTCCCTTTGTAGTTCTGTTTCAATTTCTGGGGGGGTCAATTTGAAAACCTGCACTGTGCCTAGTTCACAAAGTTGTGGGAAGTTCCTGGGCAGTGCCATGGATTGTCTCTTGGAGCTAGGCTATAGGGAGAGGCTGCCAAAGTTCTGAGAGAACTGTTTATATATTCCCTGGAAATTGGCGTGGAAAGCATCCTGTAAGTTCTGGTCAGCTGGTCTGTTTTTAATAGAAATTATGAAAAAAAAAGATTTTGTGTGTCTTTTTAAATCCCACTAAGTTCTGTCTGCGTAATGACAGCAGCGTGACAGAGATTCACAGCACTCCCACATTCCTCCCCTGCTACAATTAATATGCTGCTTCTTGCCACCCTCACAACATGTGTTCTTGCCTTTTCTGAGCTAGCTGCTGCTATGGGAGGCTGTGCCAGCAGAAGTCCAAATCTGGTCCATCGTGTTCAAAGAGTTCTAAGTCTTGAAGGGGTACAAAAATGGATTATGTCAAGGTAGCAGCAGCAGCCTGCCACAGTTGAGGCTGTTAGTTTCATGTATTTGCATCCATAATTAGTGTTGTGCTCAGCAGCAAGCGTGTTTGTGGGCAGAATGTGAGAGCCCCGTACATAGGTGGCTGTGGAACAGAGGGAGGCTTGTCTTGCCAGAACTGCTGTTTGAGTCGGGCATTTCTCATCATTTGTGGGTTGATCTAACACTTCGGCCTTTTAGAGTTTGCATTCAGAAGGGCTGTCTGTTAGCAATGTGTATGTTAAGTTTGCTTTTGTTTCTGTTTTAAAGCATTTAAAATATTTTACAAACGAGTTTGCCTTTGCTTAGCTAAATTACTCTAGATACTGCGTAGATACTGCTTGACTGCAGAAAAACATTTGTAAATAGTGTTTAGCATCAAGTAATAAGTATTGTCTAATTTATTTGAAAGACCTATTTTAAATCATTCAGATTGGAGGAAAAATATCTTTTATTGTGAATAATTCTAGACTATAATAGTAGTTACTGAATATTTCTGTTGCTTAGTAGCAAAATAATTTTGGAGTGCAGAGGATTTATTTCATGATGCTTATGCGAAGTCTGGGATTGTTCCTCTGGTTATATACATATTACTTCAGGCAGTTTTTCTTTTTGAAAAAATGGAAAGATATGAGCTTCAATCTTCAGACAGATAAATGCCTCTGGGCTGAAAGTCTAGCTGATGCAGTGACCTAACTGAAAATCAAGTAAAAGGGAAGTTTATTTTAAAATGTTGAATTGTATTTTGTTTGATCAAAAGGAAACATTTAACTTAAAAAAATAATCTAGCTCAGTTTATTTTTAAATTACTTAAAAAATACAAAAAAGTTTAAAAGCTGAAATATTCAATTTGAAGAAGCCAACAAAAATATTTATTTTTCTCTCATTTTCTCTCATCTCTCATGTCAAAGGGGCTGTTTGTCAAGCTTGAAGCCAATTTATGAGTAGTCTAAATGACTATACGTTTTTTTTTTTCTAGAATTATTAATCTAAAATTTTTGTTCCTCTCCAACTGCCAGTTTTACAAAGCTACAAAGGAATTGGATCAGAATGTCTGTATTCTCTGAAGGGAAATTTCCTTTATTTTGGAGTCATTGCATAACCACTGTGTTGACTGGTGGAGACCAACTACAAAAAATATGACTTTATATGGGGAAAAGCATTTGAAAAGAAATGGTTTTGGTTTTGTTTACTTTGCAGCATCTGTCTCTCTGCCATTGCCTTGTTGTTGGCTTTGTTAATTCACTCATTCATAGTAGTCATTGAACATTATTTCCGTACTTTTTGGATTCATTTGCATTTATACACTGAATTTCTGTGCTAAAATTGTCATAACGGGGTCATAAGTTGTAAATTAGTAGGTTTAAAAATTGCTACATCAAGAGGAGTTTTGAAAGAAAGCTTATTGGGAGATTTGATGTAAATAATTAAAAAGATACTGAGACTTGAAGAAATTGAAAGAATTAAGTATCATCGCCATTTAGTAAAAGCAAGGCAGTAAGTGTGTAGCCTACATTTGAATGCTCCTGAGCGTGTGCCTAATGAGATGCAACAATTAAGAGATTTAAGCTCTCAACACTTATAAAAATATTGTCATTTAATAATAGAACAGATTCAACGTAGAGAATTCCACTACAGGTAATGCTTCTCCATTTGAAATAACTGATAAAAACTGTGATTTCAAAACATTATTTTAAGTTTTGCATTTTTCTTTCAGCTTAAATTCATGTTTTTGTTACATACTGACACCTCTAGATAAAATTGTGCTAAATGTGAAGGTAGCCTCAAATGAACTAAAGAAGCCTCCCATACTGAGTTAATGTGTTAATGAATTATTAATTGTTTTATTGGAGTGTGGAGCTGAAGAATATTCATTAATGTCAAAAAGTCTGGTGCCATGCATTAAGTCATCTAAATCATACTGACAGAATTCCTACATGTAAGGGTCTTCTGGCACAGCACACTTGGCTATTGGGGAACTTGTATTTCTGTATATTCAGTATGCTGGGTAGAGGAATGAATAGAGGAAAAATAAGAAAAACATTTTCAGACATGCAACATGATATTCTAATAATTTAGGATAATTATCTGTACCCCAATCTTAATATGGGAAAAATCATTTTCAATTTTGATTGCATTAATTAAGGAGTGCAAGATTTATCAGTTTTACTCAGATATAATACAAATATTTTAGGACAAGTTACTGTGTTTTGAAAAGCTTAGTGGAAAAGAATAGTAAGTTGAAATAGGAATATTATTATTCATTGTGGGATTAATTATTTTTGACACTTTGTCACATCTATTTAAATGAAGTCTGTCTTTAGCTTAGGTATTGTATATTGTGAGGTTGTTGGTGCTGTTTTGTATAACTCAATAAAATTATCTTTTATGTTGGAGGTATTTTTTGTTGAATTCAGTTCTTTCTGTTGAATCTCCTTTGCTTGCATCTGGCCTTTATGTTGATTTTGCTTCATTTTTTCATTTACCATGCTGTTCAGTTTTTGGATGCCAGGAGAACAAAGGTTTGTCTACTATTCACAGTCAATTTTTTTTTAAATTCAATATTTATTGTGTATTTTTGTTTGCTTGTTAGAGATGCAGTAATCCTGTTTACTAAACATGTTCATAGCTTTAGTTGCCAAAAATAAAAAAAAAAAACAAACCCAAAAAAAACAACCAAATGCCCTCCCTCCTCTAGCTTCCTGCCAAGCAACCTTCAATTACAGTGAGTGCTTTGATTGACTTCATAACTCAACTGCTGAGCACCCTGCAGAGTAGAATCACCTTTAGTCTATGAAGTAATTTAGAAAACATGGAATACTGAGTCTTCCAGCTTTATAGGTACATCTTGACTGTACTAATGGATGTGTCACTGCCTAGTGTTTGGGTTTGTTGGTTTGCCTTCTTTGCTCTTCATTTTATATGTAGCTGACACTGTGTGTGTGTTTTCATTTACTTTTCTAGAAGCACTTGAAAAAATGTAAGTATAAACATCGTCACATGGATTTGCTATTTTATAAGGTCATTTATTATAGTTTCATCCTTAGTTCTAAAGAATTTTTGTAACAGCATACAACAAAAGTTTAATCAAAGACTAATCCTGCATTTGGATCATAAATTGATTTTTTTTTTTTTTTCATTTATTGCAGCATCTGCAAATGACAATCCAGGCACTTCAAGATGAGCTTAGAACCCAGAGAGACCTTAATCATCTTCTGCAGCAAGAAAGTGGAAACCGAGGGGCTGAGCATTTTACCATTGAGCTCACAGAGGAGAATTTTCGAAGACTTCAAGCAGAACATGACAGACAAGCTAAAGAGCTTTTCCTATTAAGAAAAACTCTAGAAGAAATGGAGCTTAGGATTGAAACACAAAAGCAAACACTAAATGCTAGAGATGAATCAATAAAAAAGCTTCTGGAAATGTTGCAAAGTAAAGGTTTGCCATCTAAAGGAATGGAAGATGACAATGAGAGAACTCGAAGGATTGCAGAAGCTGAATCTCAGGTTAATCATTTGGAAGTGATATTAGACCAAAAGGAGAAGGAAAACATACATCTTAGAGAGGTAAGGAAAACTCATTATTTGTTAATTTAAAAGATACTGCCAAAGTGCTTGCTGCAGTTTTAGAAATATATTTTCAAGTGTCTGAGTATCTTCTGCTTTCAGTGTTTCTTTAGAAAAAAAAGAAAGATACATTTGTTTTAAATCAAAAATAAACACACAGCAGGACTTAAAGATGGTGGAAGAAAAGTGTCACTTGAAGCTTATTGTCTTTGTTGCTCTTTGCATACATTCTGGCTTACTGCATTTTGACAAATCAAAATTTGACAAACCAAGATGATTAGAACTACTGAAGAGAGAATGAACACCTCTTACTGTTATAAATTAAATAGTCAAAGGTGCACGCTACTTTTTTGTTTTATACCCGTTGTAATTGAAATCAGTGTTTTAAAATGTTTTGCCTTCCATAGCCAGAAGCCTTTGTTTATTTCTAATGTATTTTCATGTGTGGTATACAATTTTGGGGGATATATGTTGCATAACATTGCCATATTAAAACACTGGGGTGATGGTCGTGCTGCGCTTTGATAGATTTGGGCCCAAGTCCTCCTACACCAGCTGCCTACATTACTTGCTGATGAATTTTGGGACTGGATTTGTGATAATTGAATTAGGACAACTGAAGGAAATTTTACCCACTGTCAAGCCTGTGTGTCCCTCTACATCCCAACAGCTTACATGACCAGTGTCAGGGAAACGAGGCCGTGAGTCTTTCGGAGAGAGATCCTGATGCTTCCTGCTGAGAAGGGCAATAGTTTCAGAGAGACCGAGTACAAGCTACCCACAGTAAAGGGGAATCAGGACCTACAGCTCTGTTTCCTTAGAAGTTCAGAACAGTGTAGTCTGATGTGAACTTCTAGTCTGGTAAAAAACCACTAATTTCCTGATATATCAAAACATGAATAAAATTAGTACAAGAACATAGAAAACTCTTATTGACTCTTGTATAATGCTAAAGATTAAGAAGAGCTATTTACATCTACAGAATGTTGACAAAATATTTTCTTTGCTATGGGTGAATTGTTTTATATTTAAGTTACAGCTACTATGGTAGTGAAAAGGAATTCTTCAAATGCAGTGAAAGTTTTTTTTTTTTTTTTCCATTTTTATTTTGTTTGACCTGGAAAATGAGGACTCAATGGTATCTGGAGCCCATCTAAAACTTGGAAATGCTGGAAAATTTGCAAGGCACAATCATATATTCCAATAAAGTTTTCTGGTGAACGTGTGGATCCTTGTGAACCTTTCCTCATGCAGAACTTTCACTGATAAGCAAGGTCACCAGTTAATGAGGTCTTTTCAGACTTCAGGGCCCTGAAAGGACTTGCACGAGGAATTAATGATACTGAATCTATGGTATGTGGCTATATGTTATGTGGGAGAAGTTCTTTAACTAGCAGAGAAGTTTTTGGAATTTGCTCTGCTGTTTCCAAAGTACTAGTTATAGCAGACTACTTACAGTAGGTTTCAAGCATGGATGACTTGCTATCTGTCAAATCTTGTTTTTTTTTTTTTTTCTTTTTCTTTCTGTGATTGTACCTCATGTATATTATCAGTATCACTTATAAGTATCACTTAATACTAACTTGGTTATGTATTGGGTGTTGAATTCATTGACAGTGGAAATTTGAAGAAGGTTTTTAATTAGCATAGCAGTCAAGTTCTTGAATAACCTTCCAAGAGTAGCAAAAGAAATACATGTAGAATTAAGTAGAGCTTGAAAAGTAGATAAAATATTTCAGAGTTCCCTCTGGGTTACTCTCTGGGCATAGGAAAAAAATCTCTGAATTTATATGAGAATAAAGAGGTTCCTGGGGAGCACTGCAAGTTTACAGAGGTGTTTGCTGCAGTTTCTGCTTATGACATGCTGATATGCCTTGGTCAAAGCTTAAAAATTTACTAGGTTTGCTGAACAGAATCTGTGTCAGATTGGCAGGAACTATCTGTTGACCTGAGGATTTTAGCAAAGAACTTCCTTGCTGCTGTAAGAATCCAAAGCTTTGGATGAAATCCTCTCTCTCTCCAGCACATATTTGTGGCTTCTGATTCATTGGTTTATTTTTCCCAGCAGATCTGAAGTTTGCTGTAGGAAGCTTGGAAGCATGACATGTGGGGCATATGAACTCCTTAGAAACTAAACGTTTACTTTTTTTTTTTTTAGGTAGCTGATTTGTATTGTTATTTTCTGGAAGAAAACAATATATGGTGTCTGCTTTGATAAGGAAATCATGTGTCCTGTAACAAACTGGTTCTTGGAAATACCCATGTACAAAAGGATGTTCTTGGGTCTGACAGTCCCTGTGTTAGTAGGTTAAAATTTGGAAGTCTGTCTTCAGGCCATGATGTCATACCATTGCATCCTTACGTTCAGAATTAAGTACCATGAAGATCACTAAATATACATTCCTGTCATAAAACACACGATGCCTGCCTTCTAGTTCTTAAATAGGTTATCACATGTCTTTTCTAGAATTTAAAATAAACATTTTTTTCCTATAATTTTGGGAGAACTGTAGGTAATATGGTGATTTTATCATGTGGAAATCTAGTACAGATGTTTGGTATTACTTTTTTTTTTAAACATAGTGGCCGCACATTATTTACCCTAAGTACCATTAAGTATTTTTTTATTATTGCTATTAAAAACTTGCCTTAGGCAAAGTCCCACTAAATCTCCAGTAAAGTGAAATGTTAAAATTCCAGCAAGTATTTTATTATGTATACATACACATATTATTACACATGCCCTCTCTATGTAACATACAGTTTCACTCAAATGGAATCTGAGATCATACAGGATTTTATATGCACATTTTAACTGGTACCTTGCATGTATTCTTAAAATAAGGTTGTTGTACACAGCTTAGTGCTACAGTGTTTTTTTTCCTTCTCTACATTTAGTAAAAAGAAGAACACAGCTTTATTACAATTTAAAGTGCACTTTTAAACTTTCAAATGTTTTTTAATTGCTCTATCTTTAAACTCAGCTTGGTCAAATAATTAAGGTCACTGATAGGATTTGAACTGCCGTCATGAATTAGTTATTGCATGTTTTTAAAGTTATTAATGGAGTGAAGTTCTTTCTTTCACTGTGAATAGAACAGATGCCTTGCAGACTTTTGGTGTTTACTGTAAATGTCTTACACTGGAGCCAGTAGTAATTTACTAAGGAAATACTTTATCAACACCAAACATTTCTTCCCTGAAGTTAGTTACATAGATTAACAACCATTCTGGACTGAATGTCTTTATTCTTTTCGTTAGTACCTCTTTCCTTTTATTTCTCCTGGCTCAGCTCAAAATATTAATCTAATCAGTAGCTATAAAGCGAATTACTTTCTATCAAAGTATCAATAGTAATACATGTTTTTAAGGTTACCTCTTAAGCATACAGAAGAAGGACTTTGCAATATTGGCAGTCACTCCAGACATGAAAAAGTAGACACAACCTGATTATGCTCTAGAGAATAGTTACTACTTCTAATATAGCCCATTCAGGTTTTGTTTGCCCCGTGATATTCTTGCCAGGGTGCTTGGTTGCAATAGTGTTTATAAGTTCATGTGGAGGATCAGAAAGCTTTTCACTTAGGATTCAGTTTCTCTAAGGACAGGCTTGCTCCCCATGACATCACCACCACTAGTTTGGAATCCTGAATATGAGAAAAATGTCCGTGTGAAACTGACATTCATGTTTGAAAAGCAGCTAAAGAAATAGTTCTGGAATGAGATAAAACGAGAGTTCGTTCGTGATCTTTTTATACCTTTCAGTATGTGGAGGGGGCAAATGTTGATCCTGACATCATTCCTGCAAGGGACATCCTTTAGAAGCTAAACTGAGGACTGTCTTGAGTTGCATCAAAGCTAGTATTGTCCCCAGCAGTAGAAATGTTATCATTGCACAGCTGTTGACCAAGTTCATGTGTTCAGACTTTAGGGCTGCATCCAAACATCCAAACATCTTAGAGCCTAGCTAAAAATGAAACAGAAAAATGATTACTAGTTTTTTTTTTTTTTTTTTTTTTTTTTTTTTTTTTTTTTACATCATAGGTTTTGTTTCCTTTAATCTTTTCTTTGTGATCTTCCTAAGTCTTTGTTCTGTAAACATACTACTGCTTGGCAATAGGTTACTTACATGACTCACACTTCTGATCTGTTGATGTGTTTTCTTAGAAAGAATCAGAGCTGAATTTGAGGGGAGGAGTAAATTCAATTCCTTTGAATTCCTTTGAATTCAATTACCTTGAATTCCTTTGTATACTTTTCTGTTTTAGGCTCTCCAAAGTGCAAGAAAATGTACCCAGGAGAGTGGTTGAGTTATAGAATACATCGAGGAACATTATTGGAGTGAGGATGTAAAAGCTACAGATCCCATAGAATTTATGCTTGTAGCATAGTTTATTATTCTTAAAAGTGCATTTGGTCATATTACGTGCTATCTTTAACATTTATTTTGGAATTATTTTCATTTAGTAACAGTTTCCATCAGATAATACATAGCTAAAACTCTTCTTATTTTAATGAATGTTCTAAGATAAGAAAACAAAACTTGTCAGTGTAGAAATTTGTGATTCTGACTGAAAAGAGAACTAGATTAAGAGTGATTTATGCATCTCCGTAGTTGCTCTGCAGTCTGACACCTTAACAGTGCCATCTGATAGACACTCTTTGATCGCTTGATCTATTCAGGGAGAAGTTGTATTTCTACCTTCTTAGAGACTTAAAAAAAAAAAAAAAGAAGATGAGTGCTATGTTATTAATGTAAAATATAATGAAAATAAAAGGGGGGGGGAGGGGGTAGAAAGAAGAACCATCTCTGAGGATTTAAAAAGTACAAAACCCAAACAAAGCACCAAACTATTTAAGATGTAGTGTTAGTGTATACATTGCTCATCATAAATAACAGTTACCTTATGCATCTCATTTGAATCAGTCAACACAAAACTAAGGAAATCACAGAAGTGTGAATGTATCTTCCAGAACTTCATCTCTTGAAATATAACAAA